CTTATTAAAACGTGATTTAGAACTTCGAGATGGTGACAGCCAATCATTAAATCAAGGATCAGCCTCTTTTAAGTATGGAACCCTGTGAAGATGCACAGGTTGGATGTCCATGCAGCTGGCCCTACACATTTTTCCTTCCCTCTTACTGCTAGTCTTATCTGTACAGGAATGGCCTCTGGTGGTCCAGCCTTTAGCATGTCCATGGAAGTTTACCTTATTCCAAAACCAAGTAAGTATTCAGGTTTTAATGCCAGATACCTGATCTAGCTAATGGTTTAGGATTAAATGATTCTTCTTTTCTAAAGCCTCAGAGACATACCTTTTAATCAACTGTCACCCCCCACACTGTCTGAAAACTAGACATAGTGTATAATATATGAATGTATAGGAAAGAAGAACCCTCAGGAGTTACTTAATTCTCGGCATGCAGTGGAAAATATAAACGGAAATATCATTGTAAGAAGGCAAAAAATTCAACAAGGGAACCATGAACTTCACATATATTATTTTGATTTGAATCAATTATCTTAAAGACCCTATGGATAATTAAGTGTTGTTTTTTCAAAGGCTACTGTGCAGTGAGTTATACAAGTAAAACTGGAAAACTCTTGACATTCTTAATATTTGTGAGTTGCATGCCCCTCTGACAACCTGATGAAAGTCATAAAACTCATCCAGGTAAATGTATATTCCCATAAACACACACACACACGCACACACACGTGCATCCCAAGCACCTTGAGATCTATTCAGCAACTTGAGGTTAAACAAATCCTTGCTCTGAAACAAAACTTCTGTTACTGATTCTGAAAGACTCAAAGGGAGCTATTTTAAAACAGAAATAAAGACACAGATTTTATCTTATGGCTAAATGAAGTTAAAGAAATTAGTTGGGGTCAGGTCATAAAGGATCATGCTAATGCTTTCTTAAAAAATGTTTGGTGCAGAAGAATTTTAATTACAGACATATCATTACACAACCAACTACGTCAGTATTCAGCTCTCAAAAATAAATGTATTTTCCTGCATAGCCAAAAGAATGATTTTTACATCTAGCAAAATTAATAATTTCTTAATTTCATTTTAGACCCAGCCAAAATAAAATTTCCCCAATTTTTTCCTGCTTTGTCCAAAATCAAGATGCAATCTACGATCATGCATTGCATCTAGCTATTATACTCCTTGAGCTGCATTTAGTCTAGAACAATCGCGGTTGGTTTCCCATCATTTATTGGAGAGACCAGATCTCTGAATTTATCCTATTGCTTCTTCTTAGTGTGTTTTAAATCTCTCTCTCTCTCTCTCTCTCTCTCTCTTTTTCTTTTTATTAATTGGAAGTTCAATCTAACGGCTTGAACAAATTAGATATTTGGGGCTAGAATGCATCACACCTGATGCTGTATTTAACTGCATTACAATAAGGACAGAGTCTGTCTCCTGTCCCACCACTACAACTGCTGACACTGGACGCTGAAACCACAGAGCCACAATCCAAGCCCTCCACTGTACTGTTCTATTTTTCCCTTATGATCAAAAAGTAACCTGTGTAGTACAACTATAGCATTGTATAGAGTTTCAATTCTCCTTCAACCATTTACCATGTTGTTTTAATTCTAAATGAGAATCTATGAATGAATCAATTACTGTAAAAGTGTGATTTTTTCCTAATTCTACATTCCTTCCATGTTAACTAGATGTTCTCTCATTGTCTGGGGATACTGGAATTATCAATTTCCTATTGAAAAAAACAGGATAAATAGTTTTAAAATCATTCATTTTCTAAGAAAAGATTTGGTTTAATATCTAACCCAAATGATAATATATACATTTTTGACCTTTTAAAAAAAAGTTTAATTGTGCATTGAGGGATTTTTATAAAATCACTTTTTTTTTTTTTCTAGGGTACATGTGGATAACGTGCAGGTTTGTTACATATGTATACTTGTGCCATGTTGGTGTGCTGCACCCATCAACTCGTCAGCACCCATCAACTCGTCATTTACATCAGGTATAACTCCCAATGCAATCCCTCCCCCTTTCCCCCTCCCCGTGATAGACCCCGGTGTGTGATGCTCCCCTTCCCGAGACCAAGTGATCTCATTGTTCAGCTCCCACCTATGAATGAGAATATGCGGTGTTTGGTTTTCTGTTCTTGCGATAGTTTGCTGAGAATGATAGTTTCCAGCTGCATCCATGTCCCTACAAAGGACACAAACTCATCCTTTTTTATGACTGCATAGTATTCCATGGTGTATATGTGCCACATTTTCTTAGTCCAGTCTGTCACTGATGGACATTTGGGTTGATTCCAAGTCTTTGCTATTGTGAATAGTGCCGCAATAAGCATACGTGTGCATGTGTCTTTATAGCAGCATGATTTATAATCCTTTGGGTATATACCCAGTAATGGGATGGCTGGGTCATATGGTACTTCTAGTTCTAGATCCTTGAGGAATCTCCGTACTGTTTTCCATAATGGTTGAACTAGTTTACAATCCCACCAACAGTGTAAAAGTGTTCCTATTTCTCCACATCCTCTCCAGCACCTATAAAATCACTTTTAAGTCAACTACAAAAAGTTATTCCTTTTGATATTCAATATATCAAAACACTGGCTTGTGGGAATGCTTTCAAGCTGTGTCTACTTTCAAGATAACAGCATTCAATTTTGAAAATTATCTTGAGCTCAAATTATACCAGGATTGGTCTGTACCTTTTGTGTCCCTAGTCAAGAATCAACCAGTTCTTCAAGAAACTGATTCCTTTACTGGGGAATGATATCAGAGACCGAAATGTCAGTCTAAGTATACTCATTGATACTAGGGGTAAAATTCCACTAAGCCATATCAATGGACATGGCAAGAAAATAAATACATTTTTTTAATCATAAATTCATTTGCAGATTTTGAGTTCAATACTAACAATAAAATACCTTTATATAACTTCTTTAATTTCATAATTGTACCTCTTTTCTCCTGAACATTGAAAATCTTGTTATCTAATAGTTAATAACAGTTGTTGGCTTCTGTGCTTGTCCTCAGCCTGTTTTCCCTCACATCAAATAGGGGAAGATACCCTTCCTTTAGTCTATCACCTTTGCAGGCTCCCATGTCAGCCAATATCAGTCACTGTTGGGATTGGGAAGTAGGACAAAGGAAGCAGCCAAAGTATTTCTACCTTTTCTCTCTGTCATGGAAAATGCTTCTGGATATGACTGTTTCTCGTCTGTGGTTTCAGTTCTCCAGGATAGGCTGACCTTAGCTCCAGCTGCAAACAGGTGATCTGGTCCTCTGGGCTTTGAAACCCATCTTTACATTTTTTTGCTCCTCTAACCTAAGGTTGGAGAGGCTTCCTGCGTCTCTAAGATCTGGGTGGCCTCATTATCTCCTCTTGGCTTCCTAGTTCTTCCATTACCTATGTAGCTTATTATCTAAATTACATTCCCTTTTGAAAAAGAGAGTTTTATTGTCCTGGTTGGACCCTGATGATAGAGCGTTATAATATTCTTCAAATAAAATAGTTATTAAATAAACACTCCTAACAGTAAAACTACTAAAGAAAGTTTAAAATGCCTTTGTCATTTTTTCCCCTAAAGAATGCATCCCTAAAGACGTAGTCAAAGATCTATGCTCCAAAGTTACGTTAAATATCCTTTCTTTTTGTAATTACATTAACAATTTATATACAGTAATGTACATTTGTACATTTGCTTTAGTGTGTTTCTAATTTGTGGGGATCCCTTTTTCTTTTTTATCATTTTAAAAAAAATTAGAGCCATGCATTTACATGGTACAGAAGTCAAAACTAAAATGTATACATAGGTGCCTCTCCTGATTTTTAAATGTATACATAGATGTCTCTCTTGATCTTTCTCACTTAATTTCTCTTCCCTGCTCTTTATAATTAACCATTTTTATTAGCTTTTTGTTCATCCTTCCAATATTGTTCTTTTTGCAATATATACATTTCCTTTATTTCTTGTAAAAAGATAGTATGAAAAATACGCTATTTTGTAAATACTATTTCATTAAATAATATTATCCCAAAAAATCTCCCCAGAGCAGTACACAGAGATGGTCCTCATTCTTCTATGCTGCTGCATATTACTCTATTATATGAATGTGGCATAATTAATTCAGGTGATTCTATATTGCTAATTTCTTGTGTTATTTCCCAGTTTTTGCTATAAAATAATAGCAAAACGATCAACTTTGTTCATATGCCATTTTAGACTTCTGTGGGTGTATTTATAAGATAGATTCCTAGAAGCAGGATTGCTAGTTCAAAGTGTAATGCATGTGGACTCTGGTTAGATTTGGCAGATTCTCCTCCACAGGGCTTGTACCCTACTGGAATCCTACCAACAATGCATTCAAGTGCCTATTTTTCTGGTGTCACCAACAGGGTATACTGCTGGGGTTTTGTTTTGTTTTGTTTTTGCCAGTCTGCTGCGTGATAAATGATACCTCAGTGTATTTGTTTTGTTATGTTTGAAGTTGAACATATTATCACATGTATAAAGGCCATCTGTTATTTTTCTACAACTTATCTGTTCATATGCTTTAACATTCTCAAAAAAATAATGGGAAAAAACATTGGCCTAGAAGTTAGAAGATCAGGCCCCATAATTTTTCAATTCACTAGTCATGGTTTTCAAGCAGACCATAAACTTTCTCTGAGCCTTAGTTTCTATCAGTCAAGTAGTTCTGACATAAAATAAATATAGTACATTAGCATTATTTTGGAATTTGTAATATATATTCACTTCTTCTTTATCACACAATAATTTATATTTCACATTTGATTCAGTATTTTTTCCTCTCCTCTCTCTTAACCTTTGGAGTCTATGTCCTGTAGCCTATAATCATCATAACCTTTGGAAAGAAAACTTTCATGATTTTCAGATGTCCCACTTCTACTGGTGATAGTGAAGTAAAAAAGGTGTCTCCTACATAAAAATTCAACAACCAGAAATTCATTTCACTTTTTAATGTTATGCTTTCTTTTCTTTATTTGGATTAAAATGGAGAGATTCCACAGATTGGAACATATTTACTACTCTAAAACCTGAAGACTGGTGTAAAAATGCCAAAGGAAGATGATAAATAAGAGTCCTAATCTTGATTAGACAAATACCAGAAGCACTGAACTGCCTCTTCCTGAAATTTCCATGGATCTGGGTGGTGGCTAGAGTGCTTTGCCATTGCTGGATGTGTCCTCAGTCAGAGTCCAAATTTCCTTTTGATTGTTGTTTCAGGAATCTTCCTTAAAAAAATAAGAATAGTAAGAGAAATGGTAAAAATTCAGTCTTCTTAGAATATTAGCTTTTTTGACACTGTTAATTGGTAAAACTCTTTGTCGAAGGAGAAATGACAGCTGTTTATATAACCAGATTCCATTCATTTTAATTATTGCTTTTGGCAGGGTACAAAGAGTTTAATCTTTCCTAAATCCCTCTGTAATGTCTGCTCTCTAGAAGGTTCAGTTACGCTGGACAAGATCTTCATCAGCTACTTGCTATGCACTGATGGTGATGTTACTTAATATAGTTAAGCTACTTGAAAGGGTAATTACTAGCCAAAGAAATGTGAGATATATGCTAATCCAAGTTCTCAAACAGACTTCTCAACATATATTTAGATCATTTACCTTAACTTTTACTTATATTTGCTGATACACATCAAATATCCCATCATAATTTCCTTGTTTGCCCTCTGTAGATCTAGATTTTTTAAAAGCAAAATGTAACAAACAAAAGTAAACTGACTAAATAAGTAGACCGATATCTTTTAGTCTGAATCTATAAATATGTAGTATTGTACTGTACTGTTACTAAGTTTTTTAAACTATAGAATTTTGTAGAACAGTAACTTTGTATACTTTCAACTTAAAAATACAAAATTAAATGAAAGCCAAAGTTTTAAATTTGATGATCATTTGGTAAAAATAACCAGAGAAGACTTAATTTCTCAAACTTCCATCCAAATTTTTTTCATAACAATTGTGTTAAATGCTTATGTGGTATTTTGTTTTCTTTACTCAGGAACATCTCCACTTAAATTCAATGTTCTGAAAGACATATATGATGTTTCTTATAAGATTAATAAGATGAAGGAAAAGGACAGGAAAAACTCAAGAGTCAATTATGTAATTTGCATTTTTAGAGACTTGATTGCAAACCTTAACTAAAAAAACAAGTCTTAGATTAGATTAACTGAATATTCATTTAATGGCAGAAAACCAGAACTTTTTCAAAAAAAGGTTTCATGTTTGCAGGTCAGGCGGAAGCCTGTGTTTTTATATTTATACTCAAATTCTCTGACTTTGTCAACATGAATATAATATCTAGAAAAGAGATGTGCCCTTACGATGAGTCGAGATGCACAATAGTTTACAGTTAGTTTCTTTTTATTTGGACTAATGGCTATAGGTGGTTTATTTGGCTAAACATGATACTGAGTCATTAGTAAAAACATTCCATTGGGTATATAATTATTGGGCACATGAGAGAGTAGCATAGGAAATATATAATTAATTGTATACATTATACTAAAACAAGAATGTGTATAAAAGAAGTTGACTCCATATCTTGAAAAAAATTTTAGAGGTTAAAGGAACTCCCACAACAACAAATGTTACTAACATAGTAGTATATTTGAAGATTGTGATTTAGAAATGACTTTGTTTACCTATGTTTTTTAAGATGGGTATCATTCTGTCACCCAGGCTGGAGTGTAGTGGTGTGGTATGATCATAGCTCACTGCAGCCTTGAATTCCAGGGCTCAAGCCATCCTCCTGCCTCAGCCTTCCAAGTGGCTAGGACTACAGGCACCTGCCACTGTGCCCAGCTAATGTTTTGTTTGTTTTTAGACAAGGCATCTTGTTTCATTGCCCAGTCTGGTCTTGAACTCCTGGACTCAAGCAATGCTCCCACCTCTGCTGATATTACGGACATTAGTAACTGTGCCCTGCCAGAAATAACTTTTAATAGAGTGATAATTTGAATTATTTTTCAAATATTCCATTAATTATTTCAGCATTTTCCAAACTATTAGCTGTGATACGTGGATGCATGATGAAATTTACAATCTTTATCTTTATTAAAACTCCTGGATTTTTCCATTAGCCCTTTGGTACTTTCAATTCTATTGCTCAGTCAAAGAATTGATCAACTATTTACTAGTACCTACTATAGATAGACTCAGTACTTTGCCACATGCCGAGGATGGGACATACATATGTATAACACATAGTTGCCAAATTCAAGGAGTTTACAAGTGTTTAAGAAACAAAATAAATTGATATGAAAAATTAGAGATCAAAACAAGGTAGGCACCATGAATTCTAAGATGTTTCAAAGGAGAAAACAGTTTGCCTTACATCTGCCTACAGTTTGCCAAATCATCTAGCAACACAGTATACTGTAGAGTTTCAATTGTTTACCATCATGATCTCGTGGTTGACTGGGAGCTGTGGGCCACTACTGCTTCCCAGCACCTTGAGAGAGTATCGTACGGCATGTGACTAGCCTTGGAAGAGATCAAAATTTAAAGTACAGTTTCTACTTAATGCATATCACTTTTGCACCATTGCATAGTCAAAAAATCTTAAGTTGAACCATGATAAGTTGGGGACCATCTGTATATCTACATACAAAACAGTGAAGTTTAATTTCTACCTGACACCAAATATGCAAATCAACTCAAAATGGAGCAAATACCTAAATGTAAAAGCTAAAACTACAAAACTCTTAAAAGAAAATAAAAGGGTAAATCTTTGTGACCTGGGATTAGGCAATGGTTACTGTGATATAATACCAAAAGCATGAGAAACAAAAAATAGATAAACTGGAATTCATCAAAGGTAAAAACTTTTGTTTCAAAGGACACTGTCAAGAACGTGAAAGACAACCTACAGAAGTGGAGAAAATATTTGCAAATTATATTTTATAAGAGATTTGTCTCCAGAATATATAAAGAACAATTTCTATTCAATATTTTAATTAAAAGATGAACCAACTTTAAAAATGTACCAAGGATCCGAATAAGCATTTATATATCTAAATGCTTATTTATCTTCTAAATAAGATATATACATGGTAAATACATGAAAAGATGCTCAACATCATTAGCTATCTGGAAATGCAAATCTAAACCACAATGATCTACCACTTCATACCCACTAAGATGCTATAATATAAAACTTGCAAGTGTTGATAAGGAAGTAGGGAAACCAGAACTCTCATAAACTATTGGTGAGAATGTAAAATGGTACAGATACTTTGGGAAACAGTTTGGCAGTTCCTCAAAATGTTAAACATAGACCCAGCATACATATGTTTCAAGATAACTGAAAACATATGTCCATACACCAATATGTTCATGAATATTCTTAGCAACATTATTTATAATAACTCAAAAGTATAAACAACTGAATTATCCATCATCTGGCAAATGAATGACGAAAGCATGGTATATGCATACAATGAAGTATAATTCAGCCATTAAAAAAGAGTACTGATATATGCTATGGCATGGATAAACCTTGAAAATATTATGCTAAGTAAAAGAAGGCAGTGTATCTATTAGCAAATAGATACAAGGGTTCTTCTAGTGATAAAAACATTCCAAAGCTGATGGTGTTAATAGTTGAACAACTCTGTGAATATATTAAAAACCAAGGAATTATATGCTTTATATGAGTTATATTTTAATGCTAATTTTAAAAATTAATATGACTATAACTGGGAAGTTTAAATAGTACCATCAGCCCACATGGATTCCATAAACACAAAAGTAATACCATTTTATTAAAAACAAGGTAGGAAGTCCTAAGAAAGAGAATTTTAGACTTTGAGAGAAATTTAGAAAATATCTAATTTCTAAGTGCCCCCATTTTTTTAGAAAAGCAACTTTAACAACAGATTGGTGGTTAAGCCTATGGATTCTTGGGGTGACAGACGATGAGTCTCTCCATCACTTGATGAGTCTCTATCACTTGACGACTGAGTCATGCTGGGCAAGGCATATGAACTCGCAGCCTCAGTGTTCCTATTTACAAGAAGGGGGAGAAGGCAGAAAATAATTTATGGTGTAGTTATTACACACACACACATGCTAGCAAAAAAAATTGGTTTTCTTCTCTTCTATTCTCTTTCCATTGTCCCATTATACCAAAGGCTGAAAAATACTAAATTACTCTACCCAGAAAGAATGTGAATAGCTCTGACGCCAAATCACTTTAGAATAATTGATGTTCTACGATTTTCAGAGTCAACAGACAGAATGAAGGTGGTCTTAAGGTTTTAAAACGGTCTTGTGGTACTTCTGTCACATCTAGAAGTATAGTTTTGCTAAGACAGTACTTACACCCTATCCCTGGGGATCATTTTTCTTTCCTCTGAATTCTCACTCTTGTTTGACATTCAATCTATTACATGTGTTAATCTGATATGATGACATGACATGACATCTGCATGTCTTAGGTAATCAACTGAAAACAACTTTAGGAAGCAACTAGCTTTCAGTATTTATCCACAGCTTATCCTCTGAGAGAAATAGAGAATAATAGCTGTAAATATTAGAGTTTTGATGGCATTCTGCATGGTTATAAGGAATTGGCTCCTCTCATATATATGTTTTTGAGGTTACATGATTAATTTGATTGTTTACCTTGGCAAATGTTACCATAGTAGCATTTTGATTAGCAGCAAATAAGTTCTTTCTACAGAGGTGCCATGTGTGGTTATCTAGGTGATATTACACAGTATGTAAGTATTAGAAACACTTTATAAGTGTGCACTTATGCACTGCTGATTAGAATACTTTTTGATGCAACCATTCTGAGGGGGATTTTAGCAACAGATCTCAAAAGCCTTCAACCTTTCACTCACCATTTCCACTGCCCAGGGCTCTGACTAACAAAAATCACAAAATATATGCTCAAGTATTTGTTTATTAAAAGTTGACCAAAAGATTCTATAAAATCATGACATCTTGAAAACAACTCAAATGTTCCATCATGATGACTTAGGAAATAAAATTAAACATGTCCATTGTTTGTATTTAAAAGATTGTTTATAATACCTTATGTGAAGATTTTATATAATATGTAAAATAATGTAATAGGTTTCAGAATAATATTCATAATAGGGTTGCAATATTTTAAAAATAACTCTGAATACATTCTATATGTGCATATATATGAATACATATATGCATTAAACTTTATCATTTGGACTTGATTTGCAAAGCGTCATTAGTTT